GACACTGGGAGAAGGCATGGCCCCGGCTGCATTCCCGTGTTTATGGTTTTAGTGTGACGGGGCCCTGGTCACAGCTCAGGGGTCCTCAGTCAGAGGTCCTCGATCTGACTGCCTTGAAAAGCAGAGGACAGAGTTTAGAGCAGACACAGCTGCCGAAAATGGAGGGGAGGGGTAGTTCCAGAAAGGAGAGAGCCAGAGAGGTGGAGACCAGGATTCTGTGTAGGATTCTGTGTAGTCAGTTCAGTCGCTCAGTCATGTCCGACTCTTTGCGACCCCATGAATTGCAGCACACCAGGCCTCCCTGTCCTTCACAAACTCCTGGAGTTTACTCAAACTCATGTCCATCGAGTCAATGATGCCATCCAACCATCTCATCCTCTGTCATCCCTTTCTCCTCCTGCCTTCAATCTTTCCCAGCATCAGGGTCTTTTCAAATGAGTCAGCTCTTCACATCAGGTGGCCAAAGTATTGGAGTTTCAGCTTCAGCATTAGTACTTCCAATGAATACCTAGGACTGATCTCCTTTAGGATGGACTGATTGGATCTCCTTGCAGTCCAAGGGACTCTCAAGAGTCTTCTCCAACACCACAGTTCAAAAGCATCAATTCTTCGGTGCTCAGCTTTCTTTATAGCCCAACTCTCACATCCATACATGACCACTGGAAAAACCATAGCCTTGACCAGACGGACCTTTAAATACTCAGCTAAATCTCTGATCAGCCCCTGCACACCTGTGTATTGTTCGTCGTTGCTGTTGTTCAGTCACGACGTCCTGTCGAGCTCTCTGTGACGCCCTGGCCTGCAGCACACAAGCTCCCCTGTCCTTCACTGTCTCCCGGAATTTGCTCAGACTCATGTCCATTGAGTCGGTGATGCTATCTAATCATAACGTTTGAGTCAAGCTAGCTTAACTCTGCAGAAATTAGAAAAGAAAAACCAATCAATGTTCTTTGAAAGAACACAAGAGAATCCAGAGTTTCCACAATGTATTATTCATGATACATTATTTTTCTCTTATTAATTAAAAATACATACAACTATTAATTAAAAATACATACAACTATTTAAAGCAAAAAATGCTTATGAAATGCTTAATGAAGACTAGAACATAAATAATTGGCAGTTGACACTGGATAACTGGACCTATGTGGTGGTAAGGTTCTCATGCTTTGCATGAAGTGCTGCAATATTAACTCAAAATAGACCAGAAATGTTAGGAATGTGTTTTGAAAATACGAAGCAACCACTAAAAAGTAATACCAAATAACATAGCTAAAAACACAATAGATAAATTCCAACGTAATTCCAAAATTTGTTTTCAATTAAACAAAAAGACCATAAGAAAGAAGAAACTAATTTTAAAAAAAAACAGATGGGAAGATATAAAACAAATAATAAAACAGTAGACTTAGGGGACTTCCCTGGTGGCTCAGTGGTAAAGAATTCACCTGCCAATGCAGGAGAGATATGGGTTTGATCCCTGGTCCAGGAGGATCCCACATGCCACAGAGCAGCTAAACCTACGTGCCACAACTATTGAGCCTGTACTCAAGCCACAACTACTGAACCCACGCGTCACAACCACTAAAGCCCCCACGCCTAGAGCCTGTGCTCTGCAACAAAGAGTAGTCCCACTTGCCACAACTGGAGGACAGCAGAAGCAGCAGTGAAGACCTAGCACAGCCAAAAACAAATAAGTAAATAAAATTTTAAAAAATAGTACTTAAATCCAACCATGTCAATACTCACCTTAAATGTAAATAAACTATTTGCTCAAATTAAAAGATAGAGATAATTAGAATGGATTTTTTAAAAATCAACTATATTCTAGTAGAGATACATTTTTAATATCCAAGACATGAATAGGTTAAGAGTAAGAGGATGGAAAAAGATATATACCATGCAACCAATAAACACGGCATGTGATTTTAAGCACGTAGTCCCTGGGTGGTGTGTACAGCCCTCCTGATGTGTTACCAAATAACTTATGATAAATTCATTGTCTGCTCAAATGAACAAAAGTCAGTAATTTTAATAGAAACAGGGAACCCTGATTGATACAGATACCAGGAAGAAAAATAAAGAAGGATGAAGGAACAAAGGGTTATGGGGCTGTATTTTGGATAGAGAGATAAGACTGAACTCAGAGGAGGTGACATTTAAACAGAGACCATATTAGTATTCCATTTTAGTTTGTAAAGAAAAAAAAATGTTTCATATGTGTATGTATGTCTAGATGAACATATAAAAATATGAATAGATAGTTGTGGTGGGCTGATAATGGATTCCAAAGATACATACACATTCTAAATCCCTGCAAGTTATAAACATTACCTTTTGACAAAAAAGGTCCAGATGTGATTAAGTTAAAGATCTTGAGATTATGAGATTATTTTGGATTTTGTCTCAGTGAAATTGATCTTGAACTACTGGCCTGCAGGGTTGTGTTATTTTAAGCTGCCAAATTCATGGTTATTTGTTACAGTAGATGCAGAAAACTAATAACATGATAATATTTTCCATGATAACACTAAGGATCTGGAAAGAGGATTGGAGGGAGAGGTTAGATGTGAGAGGAAGATAAGAGTATGAATATATGTACCACAAAATTTTCATGTAAATTAAAAATAGCCAGTTGCAAAACAAGAATATAAAATATATACAAATTTTGTATTAAACAGGCAAGAATGATTGTTGTTGGGGAGAGAATGGGAATAGAGGGATACAGAGAAAGAGATGATAGCAAATGAAAAATTTAGTTGAAGGATTGGAAGATGAAGTTAAGGAAACTTCTTATAAGATGGAGCAAAAAGAGAAAGAGATGAAAAGTAGAGTAATAAGTAAGAGGACCAGTCTAGCAACCCAATAGCTGCATAAAGAACAGTCTGGAAAGAAAGAACAACAACAAAAAAGAGAATGCAGTCATCAAAGAAGTAATTCAAGAAAATTCTCTTCTGTGGTTTGATGTTAGATGGGAGCGAGAATGTAGAGTGAAATAAGACTGGAGAAACTGGCAGGGGTTAGATCAGAAAGATTCTGGAGTCCATTTTAAGAAAACTTTGCTAGAGCTAATCCTGTTTAGAATGTCTCTACAGGCTCTCCTTACCTACTTGATTTCCTAGAAGTATTTTCATAATCTTCAAGACACACTGTAATATAAGTAAACAGTTCTTCCAATGTGTTTCTCTTACAGACCTCATTGCATTGTAATAAATTGTTCATCGGTGTCTATTTTATCTGCTAGAAGGGAGTATGTATGTTACCTAAGGGCAGAGACCGCATCTATGTTACCTAAGGGCAGAGACCGCATGGGGCTCACTTATTTTTGAATTCACAATGCTTGGCACAGGATAGGAACTCAATAGTCCTAAGTTATTGTACTTTACCTTGGCCCCAAATTAAGAATTTTCCAGCCCTTAAACTTTAACCCTTCCCAAACAGTAAATCAGTTGAAGATAAGTGAAGCCTCTATTTTTTTGTGCCAGAAAATTTGTGAGGGTGAGAATAACATAGCAGCCTTCACTTTCCAGAGCCAAGCCCTTCACATACTTTATCACCACTGCTCACAGCCACTCTCCATGACAGGCGTTATAATCCTAGTCACACAGATGGAGAAACTGACCTGTGATGCAGGGTCACAGTCAGCTAGTACAGTCATCCCTGGATATCCAAGGGTATCAGTTCCAGGATCCCCAACACCCCAACACAGATGCTTAAGTCCCCTATATATAATGGCATAGCCTTTGCATATAACCTACAGCACATCCTTCTATGTGCTTTAAATCATTTCTAGATGATTCATAATACCCAATGCAATGTAAATGTTATAAATGAAATTTAAATAATTTACAAATAGTTGTTCCTGCTTGGCAAATTCAAGTTTCGCTTTTTGGAAATTTCTAGAAAAAAATTTTAAAAATATTTTCGATTTCCTTCCTCCTTATTTGAATTCCAGGAATGCAGAAAGAGGGTATGTCCTGCTGAGGACAAGTGCCTGAACTTGTGCCTGAGGACCAGTGCCTCAAGCCTCTCCTTCCAGAAGTGGTTCTCCCAGTCACTCCACCATGTGTATTCAACATTCATTATAATTCTTGCAATTTTTTTTTTAACTCAGAGTACTGCACATCAGTTAGCTCATTTCCAGGTTACTAATGTCTGGCTTCAGTGGTTACAAACACTATGCCCTTCACACATTATAAAGAATAACTCGCTCAATAAAAATGTCGTGGCTACTCTCCCTTTCTGAGATGGGCTGCATTCTGCCTATGGAATGTGCATCTCTCTAAATAAAACTGATTTTACTGTAAAAAAAAAGAGTCGTTATAAACCTAATTTTCTAATTCATATTTGCATTTTTAAGTTTCTCAGTCGTGTCCGACTCTTTGCGACCACGGACTGTAGCCCGCCAGGCTCCTCTGTCCATGGGATTTCTCAGGCAAGAATACTGGAGTTGGTTGCCATTTTCTTCTCCAGGAGACCTTCCCCACCCAGGGACCCCACGTCTCCTGCATTGCAGGTGCATTCTTTATCACTGAACCGCCAGGAAAGCCAGTTTTCAATTTTATGTACCACCTATCTTTTCTGTGTCTACAAAGCTTCCTTTCTTACTCCTGGTATTCCTAAATTTTACTCATTTTAAGATAGGGGTTCAGTTATATGAAATACTGACTCTTTTTTTTTTTTCTTTCCCATACAGAAAGAAAATGGACAAGACGTGAGTGTTTCTGGACAGGACAGGTCCTGACTCTTGCTGGGTAACAGGCTGAGCCTTAAAAATAAACAAATAAATAAAGCCATTGCTCCGCCCCCGCCCCGCCCCGCCCCGCCCCCGGGAGCTCTTCCCTCCGGTCCAGGTCTGCGTGGAATTCCGAGCCGCGCAGTCCGCAGGCAATCCGGGATGTCTAGGCCGCCCTGAGCAGTGGCCGTCTGCGCTTCTGCTCCTTCGAGGTCGAGTCCCAGGGGCTTGGACCCGGGAGCCCAGGCGAGACCGCGCACCGCCTATGGACTCACCGGGAGACCCCGAAGGCCCACGCCCCGCAGGAGGTGACGGAGAGCCGGAGGCCAGCTGCACCTCTGTGGCTTGGCTTCTTTGTATTTAACAGCGATTGAATTGCCTTTAGCTTGGTTTGTTTTAGGGAGATTGGAGAAGGCAGGGTCCTGGCAGTGGGTTTTTTTCTCCCTGGAAAGGGTTAAAGTTTGAACACTGGCCTGACAGGATGTGGTCTCCGATGACTTCCGTGGTTCTACTTTTAAGTAGTGAGTGTTTAAGAATGCATTCAAATAAGTTGCCCTTTAGGAAAACGCAAATGGTGACATTTCCAGCCTGTTATCCCCCTAACCCCTTTAACTCTTTCAGTTCCTTTCCTCGTCCTCTACCAAAATTTTTAAAGCTTCTTAAGACTTCCTTCTGTTTCACAGATTTCTTTTTCTAGACAGCAATGGCAACCTCTGAAAATACAGAGCCATTCAAATATATTTTCTTAAATTTCTATTCTCTCAAAACCGTTTATAATTTAAAAATTGCAAATAGATTTACTGGGTGTTTGGAACTGAGTAAGTGACCTGATATCTTTAAATTAAATGGTAGTTTAGCCCTGATAATAAATATTAAATTAATTGATGCAGAAGACCAATAATTACTGTAAAACACTACTGATTTATAGATTTATGACACTTGTTTTTCCAGGAGCTGCCATTGTAAGTATTACTTCTCCAGTTGAATGATTTAGTTTGTTTTTTCCTGCTTACATCTCACTTGACTTCAGTAGTTTTTCTGCTGTTCAGTCAATGAGTCATGTCTGACTGTTTCAGATTCCATGGACTATAGCCGGCCAGGCTCCTCTGTCCATAGGATTCTCCAGGCAGGAATACTGGAGTGGCTGCCATTTCCTTCTCCAGGTGATCTTCCTGAGCCAGGGATCGAATCACATCTCCTGCTTGGCAGGCAGCTTCTTTGCCACTGAGCCACGTTAATAAACCACTAACACAAAGTGGTTAAAACATGACTGAGTCCATGTAGCACATGAAGCTAGTAACCTGAGAAAGTGGGGTTCCCCAGCAGCTCTGACAGTAAAGGATCACCTGCAATGAAGTAGGCCCAGGCTTGATCCCTGGGTCGGGAAGATCCCCTTGGAGAAGAGAATGGCTATCCACTCCAGTATTCTTGCCTGGAGAATTCTGTGGACAGAGGAGCCTGGCGGGCTTAAATCCAAGGGGTCCCAAAGAATTGGACACAGCTGAGTGAGTAACACTTTCACTTTTCAACCTGAGAAAGTACATTACTTCAGAGGACAGTAGCATTTGGAGAGCCCCCCGTGGCCTCATCATTCTTGAAAGAATCTATTAAGGTGAAACAAATAAGTCTTAAGGTGAAGGCAAAACAAAGCAGATGGTTTGATAAATTCTGCACTGAAATTCTGATAGGGAACAGTAATGTAAGTGAAAGTGATATGCTTTGAAAATTGCAGTGATATACAAGGATTGTGTTACATTGGACCAAATATGCTATATTCAAAATAGCCTTTAGCTCAGCAGATATTACCTTCAGAGTGCATTGTCTGCACACAGAAATGACATTTCTGTACTTTTATCAGTAGCCCCAATTACATTTCTTTAATTGCAGCCTATTTGCTTTCAAGGTGATGGCCCTCCAGGAGTTGCAATGGAGACATCCAGGCGGCTTTCAAGAGAACAGATTTTTGTACTGATATCAACAGCTTCCATTAACTTAGGTTCCATGATGTGCTATTCTATCCTTGGACCTTTTTTCCCCAAGGAGGTAGGACATTTTGATATTCATATGAACTCTTAATGTTTTTAAAAAGCCTTTGACAAACTTCACTTGACAGTATGGAGAATGTAAAAACTTGCATATAGCAAAGATGATGTATAGAACTTAAGCAAACAGAAGAATTCTTATAGAATATTTGATCCCAGAAGGAAAAAAAAAATCAATCATAATATCATCTTGAGAAGTAATTCATCTAAATATAATTGACCTTCTGAAGATTGCTTTGCTTACCATGAAGTTTGATTCATCTGTTTGGTTTCTGCAGCTGATAACAAAAAAAGGAAGTGCACTGAATAACTGAGATTTCAGTGTTATTGCAAAAGATCTTTATTAAGACAGTAACAGTTTCCTGGAGTTGGGTTTATGAGTATTTTGGAATTAGGAAGGCATGGTCCGCTCCGTTTTCTGAGTTGAATTTCGTATGAAATTGTGTAGGGAATCTAGTTGCAATATTTGTGCCAAGGAGGAATTCTGATTAATATTGATTAGGTCCTTCTAATCATAGCATTTTATGTGATGTTCAGGTCTATGGATAATGGCACAGACACGAAGGAATAACCCCTAGAGAATCCACCTGGAATCTGGAGGTTGGTGTAGTATGGAGGAAATGACACTGTCTTGGCTGGGTGTAGACAATATGCCTGTGTGTTCTGCTTCATGCCCTCTTCGAAAGCCTCAGCTCATGATGCAGGGATCCTTCCCAGTCCTCTGACTTCTTTGATAGCATGTGGTCCTTCCTTCTTTGTGCTACAAAAGACAATAAACATGGCTTCTCTGCTCAAAGAACAGTAGTACAACCCTGTACCCATTAAGTTCTTTTTAGTTTTCAGTGTACTCCCAACATGTTTATCCCATTTAGTTTCTGGAGCAACTCTGTAAGATAGCCAGAGTAGACAGAATCCCATCCTGTTGCAAATGAAGAAACAGATCCCAAAGTTAAGTGACTGGCCCAGTTCAGTTCTGTTTACTGAATGGGAGTGGGATGTTTAACCATTTCCCACCCTAGAATGTGCTAGGTGTTGGATGTATTAGGGCTGGAAAAAAATTAGGAAAATGTCTCTGTCTCATCTGTCCATTGGGAGGGAAAAAATATGAAAAGAAAGTTGCAGAGTATTTGAATCTCCTTGAAGAGGATGTCCAAAGTGTAAGGAGACTCTAGGGAAGGGAATGGTTAATTTTGCAATGAGTGAGGCTGGCAGGTGTGGTAGGGAAGGAGAGAAGGAGTAATACTAAAAGGGACTTGGCAGGGTAACCTCAAGGTGAGTCTTGAGAAATGGTAGTTCCCAAGGTGAACAAGAGAGGCAAGGGTCCTCTAGGTTAGCAACTCACAGGAGACAGTCACAAGATGAGCAAAGGAAATAGCGTGTTCTTAGGGAACCAGGGACCGTGGTGGGGCTTGGGTCTGGGTGCAGTAAGATCCGTGGGAGCTGAAGATCTGAAAAGGCAGGTTGGTGCTCCAATGCAAGGGTCCTTCCATGCAGATCAAAGATGTCGCCAGTGAGAAGTCATCAGAGATGTTTAGACAAGACAGGTTAGACTGGGCAGATGTGGATTTGGGGGAAAGAAAATGAGGAATGGAAGCTGTGGAATTAAGACAGAAGAGAACAGGAGTAGTGGCCAACTAGATAGAAGGGCATGTCCGATTCAGCTGGAACTCGGTGAGCGTAACTAGTGTTAGATTCTTCTTAGTGAAATACAGGGGAGAAGGCAATGGCACCCACTCTAGTACTCTTGCCTGGAAAACCCCATGGACGGAGGAGCCTGGTAGGCTGCGGTCCATGGGATCACTAGGAGTCGGACACAACTGAGCGACTTCACTTTTGCTTTTCACTTTCATGTATTGGAGAAGGAAATGGCCACCCACTCCAGGGTTCTTGCCTGGAGAATCCCAGGGACGGGGGAGCCTGGTGGGCTGCCATCTATGGGGTCGCACAGAGTCGGACACGACTGAAGCGACTTTGCAGCAGCAGCAGTGAAATACAGACAGAGGAAAAGCGGGCTGTGGGTATGTGCTTTCTTTCTTTTTTCTTAAGTATTTGATTTAGTTTTTTGCTTGCAAGAGACAGGAGAGAGAGCATTCTAACTTTAAAAGGTATAGACATGAAGAGTGGGCTCTTCTTTTTCATTTTTAATAAAAGCATTAGGGTTGAGAAACACTGGCAAAACTTGCTCTTCCCTCTGTGTATTCTGTTATTCTTCCCTGTTTTGTTGGTGTTTAGTTGCTAAGTTGTGCCCAACTCAGGGCAATCCCATGGATTGTAGCCCGCCAGGCTCCTCTGTCCATGGGATTTCCCAAGCAAGAATACTGGAGTGGGTTGCCATTTCCTCCTCCAGGGAATCTTCCTGACCCAGGGATTGAACCCTCATCTCCTGCATTGGCAGACCGTTTCTTTACCACTGAGCCACCGGGGAAGCCCCATCATGCTTCTTATTAATGAGCTAATTAGATCAAGGAAAAACAAGGTCCTTCTTCTTAACTTGTGGTGTAGGATTAATGTTTCTTATCCTTTTCCTATCCTTTTTCTGGCCCCCTCCTCCTTTGGCAGATGATAATGAATAAACTATTGCTTGTGATAATCGTTCTTGCCATCCTCACATGCAGCAGGATCCGCATGTCAAAAGCAACATTCAGTTGCTGCTGTGGTGTGTGATTCTAGAACATGCTAAGTCTCCATCCTGCTTTCACAGAGAATGTGGGAACCTGTGCAAGATGGAAACTGATAGGACTGCTATGACCATGACACAAGTAACTTGCAAGGCTGTGTCCTCATCTATGGAAAGGGGCCAGCTAAAAGTACATCCCTTACTTGTTGTTTGAAACCATGTAGATCAGCATGGCTCATAATGAGGGGCCAATAAATGTTAGTTGCTGTAACTACTATAAATTTTCAGCCAGACTTGAGAACTAAATAACTTTCAGATCTATTAAAGCAAACAACATGGACATAACTTGACCAATGAATGTTCTTTCTACATCTTTTTTTTTTGGCCACATCTCGGCCACTGGGATCTTAGTTCGTTCCCTGACCAGGGATCATACCTGCGCCTCCTGCATTGGGAACATGGAGTCTTAACCACTGGACCACCAGCAAAGTTCTTGTTTTCACATCTTAATTGATCCCTTTGATAACACCTTCCCTTTGAGTTACCTGTTCTATGTGACTAGGGCTGCTATAACAACGTACCACAGACTGCGGACAACAGAGGTGTATTGTCTCACAGCTCAGAAGTCCAAAACCAAGGTGTCATTGGTAGGGTCGGTTCCTTCTGAGGGCTGCGAGGGGAGGATCTGTCCCAGGCCTCTCTCTTTGGCTTGTGGGTGGGCATCTTCTCCCTGTGTCTTCTCATGTTATCTTCCCTCTGCACCTGTCTCTCTGAGGACACTTCCCCTTTTTACAAAGATATGAGTAATACTGGGTTAGACTCCACCCTCTGTGACCTCTTTCAACTGGTCACTCCCGCAAAGACTTTCTCTCCAAATAAGGTCACCTTCTAAGTTGCTATGAGAAACCTAGACAGTGTATTCAAAAGCAGAGATACCACTTTGCCAACAAAGGTCCATATAGTCAAAGCTATGGCTTTTCCAGTAGTCACGTGCAGATGTGAAATTTAGACCATAAAGGCTGAGTGCCAAAGAATTGATGCTTTTGAACTGTGGTGTTGGAGAAGACTCTCGAGAGTCCCTTGGACTGCAAGGAGATCAAACCAGTCAATCCTAAAGGAAATCAGTCCTGAATGTTCATTGGAAGAACTGATGCTGAAGCTGAAGCTCCAGTACTTTGGCCACCTGATGCAAAGAACTGACTCATTGGAAAAGACCCTGATGCTGGGAAAGATTGAGGGCAGGAGGAGAAGGGGGTGACAGGATGAGACAGTTGGATGGTATCACCAACTCAATGGACATGAGTTTGAGCAAACTCCAGAAAATAGTGAAGGACAGGGAAGCCTGGCATGTTGCAGTCCATGGGGTCACAAAGAGGCGGACATGACTTAGTGACTCAACAACAACAACTGCTGAAGTGCTGAGAGTCAGGACATCAGCATAAGGAGTTTGAGGAACACAGTGAGCCCCCTGGCACCCCCTGACGCTTGGTGTGGTAGAAACATGGACTCCACATTCCTGTCTACATACAGCATAGGATGCCAGTGAAGGCATTTTTCATAGTGAGAGCTCTCTTTTCTCTATACCATTATCTCATATGATGATTAGTGATGGAAAAGGAATGGTTAATCCTGAGTCTCATCAAATTATGGGCTGAAATCCCACCATCCCACCTAAGCAGTTTCTAGAATGCTCTAGGTTCAACTTCACTCTCTCCCACCACCAGGCTCTTAGGGACCACACTTGAGGGGTAGGAAGTGCTTCCCAGAGTGAGAGGGCCTTTGCTTCCTGTAGTTTAGCGATGAAAAGTAGAGCTCATCTGGACTTCCCTGGGGGTCTAAGAGTTAAGACTGTGCTTCCACTGCAGGGGGTACAAGTTCAATCCCTGGTCTGGAAGTTTCACAAGCCATGTGATGGGGCCAAAATTAGAGAAAATGGAGTTCACCCATCTGGTTTCCTGTGGTATGATGCTTTGAGAAAGGTAGGATTTATTTAGAAACACAATGTAAGAATATATGTTTTTAAAGACAAGGATTGAATGATTATTGTAACTTTCTGTAGGAAATGATAAACTAATTTTTTATCTTGGAATTGTAATTAGGGTGAAAAGATAAATAAATAGAATTAAGGCTGTTGTGGATGACAGATTTTAAAGGGAGTATGTGTGCCCACACACATTCCTGTATTCAGAGTAGAGTGATTTGTGGAAGAGCTGAAGCTCTGGCAAAGGATGAGTCTAAGTCACATCTTCTAACTATAAATATTCACTGCTGGCTCCTGTGTGATGCATAGAAGGTGCTGGATAAATGACCACTGACTGCCCGAGAGGACAGATGTGTGTTTCAGACTTAGTGCTTCATGGTGTGCCAAGTTGCCAATCTTATCTTAAAAAATTAAACTCATGTTTTAACCCCTTAAATGGTTATAGCTAGAACCTGATCTAAGGATCCACCATAATTTCAGGGTTTTAGAAAGGTCTTCAAACCTCTGTCTATTCAGTTGTACAACACAACTAATGGTAGCTTTTGAAGTTCAAAAGAAGTAGTTTTAGAATGAACATTATATCATCTAGCAATTGGAGAATGTAGTGGCAACCCACTCTAGTACTCTTGCCTGGAGAATCCCATAGATAGCGGAACCTGGCAGGCTACAGTCCATGGGGTCATAAGAGGCGGACACGACTTAGTAACTAAACCACCACCACCATCTGTAGCAAATTTAGGAACCACTGGTAGACTAGTCTATAAACAATCATAGGAATCATTGATGGGCGATAAACTACTCCAAATGTTTCAGCAGCATGTTGGGAGGGGAGGGAGCTTCTTTCATCTGTGTCATTGATGTCAGGAAAGGAAACTTGATCTTCTGTGAACTGTTAGGTAGTTGGTATCAGAAATAGAGAACTGAATGGTCTGATCAGTCCTTGGGATGACTCCTGTACCAGCTTAAGGAACTTTCTCTTAGATTTTTTGACCAGCAAAGTAAAGTGGTTGTTTGGGGTTTTTCTGTGTATTTTTATTGACATTTGATCCTATGACTAAATGTGATATTGAGTTGGAAGACCTTCTTCCAGTGTGCTTCACCTTTACACTCATGCTGCTAGCACACTCATGACACATTTGATACCAGATGTGTAGGTTTTTCCCCCCACACCAAGCAATTCTCTGTGACACCAGTTGGATGTCCTACCATTCAGTTCAGTTCTGACACTGATCTGTGTTAGCCCAGACCCCACAAGTTAAGAACTCAGTCCCACAAGACTGCCCTCTGCTTCAGATGCCAGTTGCAAGTAGTAGGTCTCCAAGTTACCCCCAACTTCTGTCCAACTTGGCTACAAGTCACAGGTTCCCATGTGGGGTGTGTGTGTGTGTGTGTGTGTGTGTGTGTGTGTGTGTGAAGCTTCTTCAGTCATGGCCAACTCTCTGCGACCCTATGAACTGTAGCCCGCCAGGCTCCTCTGTCCATGGCATTCTCCAGGCAGGAATACTGGAGTGGGTTGCCATGCCCTCCTCCAGGGATCTTCCTGACCCAGGGATGGAACCTGTGCCTCTTATGTCTCCTGCATTAGCAGGAGGGTTCTTTACCAGTAGCACCACTTGGGAGGCCCTCCCATGTGTTAGGGAAATTAAAATGGAGGAAACCCTGTTCAGGCTTCAGAAGCAGGAGAGTGGGCCTCTGAACTACTTCTGACCTGCCTGGACACTGCAGATCCTGCCTGCAAGCACCGCAAGTGCTTAGATAAGAAAAGGAGTTGCTCTTGGAATTCTCGAGCCTCTGAAGATCTGGCCAATCCCTGGGGGTCTAACAAAATCCTATGACTCACAAAGTGAAACAAACTGCAGTGTAAAAGTTAAAAAAGAACCCCAAAACCAGAGCTGCATTTTTGCATGCAAACTGCTGATGATATCAGTCTGAGGCCTGGGATTATAAGTGGGAGCCCCCTAAGCACAATTTGAAGTCTCACCCATGGGGTGGACACACCACCCGGGACCCTTTCCCATCGCAGCTCCAGATTGCTATTAACGAGGGACTTCCCAGCACTGTTCAAGTCTGGATGTAGGTTGTTGGCTCAATTTGGTGGTTTATTGTCCGTTAGTTCTCTCTCTTGTTTCTATTTCTTTTTTTTCTTTAATGACTGCATATTGAAATTAAGTCAAACCTATAAAAATTGAAATTGTTTATTTGTGTGTAATGAATGGTTTCTTTTGTTAGCAAATCCTTTGAACTTATAGGTAAAACTTTAGGCAAGACACAATGACCCCCTCACTTCTCCACGTAGGATTCAGTTACTTGCTGGAATGGCTTCCAGAACTCAGGGGAAACTCTTGCTTAACACTGTTATAAAAGGATGTGATAAAGTATACAGCTGAGCATGTAGATGGAAGCGATACAGAGGGCGAGGTATGTGGCAGGGGCATGCAGCTCCCGTATCCCTGCAGGTGAGTGACATTCCCAGATCCTCCATGCGTTCACCAACCCCAGCCCCTCACCTTAGGCATTTTTATGGGGACTTAATCACATAGGCACGATCAATCATTAACTCAGTTTCCAACCCTTCTCTGGAGAATGGGGTGTGGGACCAAAAATTCTAAGCTTCTAATCATGGCTTGGTCTTTCTGGTGACTAATCCCCAAACAGGAATCACCAACAGTCACCCAGGAGATACCAAGGGACTAGGAGCTTGGTGTCAGGAGCCAGGGTCAAAGACCGAATATTAGAACATTATCACTCCTGGGGCTCTTATCACTAACGAAGTTACAAGGATGGTCAGGGTTCTGTGCCAACAACTGGGGACAGAGACCAATAAGTATATTTTCTATGAGCTCAAAGATACCAAAAAGAAAGCATTTCAAGATCAACTGTTGGCTTAGTTCTACAGGAGAAGCTGAGCTTACATTTCCTCAACCAAGGCTTTTTGTTTTGTTTATACTCTAGTTGTGATTTTGGCCTGCTAAAGCTAACAATTCTTATTTTGGTTGGGGGCAGACTTCATTGAGGTATAATTGTTAAACAGAATTTTACACTCATTTAATATATCCATCTTGATGAATTTGGACATATGCACCCCATCTATGATGTCATCACTGCAACCAAAATACTAAACTTATTCAGCACCTCCAAAATATCCCTTGGGTTTTCTTGTGGACTTTTTCTTTTTTCTTCTTCTTCTTCTTCTTGTGGTGAGAACATAACATGAGCTTATCTCACTTCACAGAAAATTTATATCCAAAGAGCTATACTTCCCCACTGCCCCCTTCCCAAAGTCCCTGACAACCACCATTCTAAGCTCTGCTTCTATGAATTTGGCTATTGTAGATACTTGATACCAGCGGAATCATGCAGTGTTTGTTCATCTATGAGGGCTTACTTCGTTTAGCATCATTTCCTCCAGATTCATCCATATTCTTGCAGATGCCAAGATTTCCTTATTTTTGAGGTGAATAATATTCTGTGTTATGTATATACCACATTTTCTTTGTCCATCCATCTGTCGATGGACATTTGGGTTATTTCTATATTATCTTAGTTATTTCTTAGTTGTTTCTATATTATTTTAGCTAGTGCCACAGTGAGCATGGGATTGCAAATATCTCTCAGACGCTGCTCTCAATTCTTTTGGGTATATACACAGAAGAGGGATTGTTGGGTGATATGGTAGTTCTGTTTGTAATGTTTTGGGGATCCTCCATATTGTTTCCATAGTGGCTGCACCATTCTGCATTCCTGCCAACAGTGTATAAGGGTTCTGATTTCTTCACCTCCTCACCAACAGTTGTTATCTTCTGTGTTTTCAGTTATTGCTATCTATCCTAACTGGTGTGAGATGATATCCCATTATGATTTTAATTTGCATTTCCCTGATGATTAGTAATCTTGAGCAGCTTTTCTTACGCCTGGTGGCCATTTGTATGTATCTTTTTTAGAGAAATGTCTTGAAATCCTTTTCTCATTTTTAAGTCACGTTCTTTGTGGTGGTTTTTTATTAATAGATTATTGAATTGTAGGAGAGTCTTACATATTTTGGATATTAGCTACTTATATAGAGATGGTTTACAAATTGCTTTCTCCCATTCTGTAGATTGCCTTTCCACTCTGTTGATTGTTTCCTTTGCTGTGAAGATTTTTAGTTCAGTGTAATTCTACTTGTTTGATTTGTCTTGTTGCTTAGGTTTTTGGTGTCAGATACAAGAAATTATTACCAAGATCAATGTCATGACCTATATGGGAAAAGAATCTAAATAAGAGTAGACATGTGTATGTGTATAACTGATTTACTTTGCTGTACAGTGAACTAACACAACATTGTAAGTCAACTATACTCCAATAAAAAGAATTTTTAAAAAATCCCCCATCCTCCATTTTCTTCAAGAAGTTTAACACTTTCAGATTTTATGTTTAAGTCTAGTTTGCTTTGAGTTTAGTTGGTGAGTGGTATAAGATAGGGAACCACTTTCATTCTTTAGCATGTGGATATCCAGTTTTTCCAACATCATTTGTTGAAGAGAATGTCTCTTCCCCATTGTGTGTCCTTGGCACCCTCGTGGAAGATGAATTTATCACATTTGTTTAGGTTTATTTCTGAGCTCTCTCTTCTGTTCCATTGATCCATATGTCTGTCTTTAGGCCAGTATTGTACTGTTTTAATTACTACACTTTTGAACTCTATTTTCAAAATCAAGAGGTGTGATACCTCCAGTTTTGCTCTTTTTTCCTCAAGATCATAAAGTTAACAGTTTGTTTTAGGCTTGGTGAGTGAATTATTTTCATGTCAGAGAACTGGATTTTACTACAGTTCTCTTTCCTTTCTTAGCCTTTATTCTGAAATAATAATCTCTGAAATTGCTTTACAGACAAAGGTTACAGGAGGATGCTCCTCTGATCTAATAGCTCCATTTTTTTCCCTTACTGTTGCTAATTTATGTTTCAAACTTTTCCTTTTCTGTTTCTTTAAAGGCTGAAAAGAAAGGAGCCAGCAATACAGTTATTGGTATGATCTTTGGATGTTATGCTTTATTTGACTTTCTGGCATCTTTGGTATTTGGAAAATATGTAAGTATTAATTTTTTAAAATGGTGTAATGAGTTATTCTAACTTACAAGTCTAAAATTTCCACTGATGCAGAAATAACCAGCATTGTATGTTATGAACTGTGCTTCAGCTGACAGTTCCATTCTTACGGTTGATTGATTTTTAACTTCTTCCATGTTTGTAAGAATGCATGTTATCATTCCACTGAAGAATTATGTTTTGTTAACTGTATATATCTTCCCCAAATCTTCTGTTTCCTGATACAGTGGATTTGTTTATGTCACTATAGACTTGTAGCAGTCATCAATTTACCACTTTTCTTTGACATTTATTATAGCTTGTACATATTGGAGCGAAATTTATGTTTGTAGCAGGAATGTTTGTCTCAGGAGCAGTTACAGTTCTCTTTGGGTAAGTCATGTTCTGATATGTTTGGGAGCCTGAACAGATTTTCTAATTTATCTTCAGTTTAAACTGTTAATGGTTTCTTTAAATCAATCATTACCATTGATTATCAAATGCCTGGCATATGACTAATGGTGAAGGGAGTTGGATGGTGTGGAGAATGAAATGAATGACATTGATCTTAAGAAAAAAATCCTCTAGGGGATCACCATTAAGTTGGCTGCTGAATCTGTTCTTTAGGACTTCTGTGACTTGAGTGACAGAAACTTAACTCAGTTTTCTGAGTCACAGATTTCTTTGGCTTAAGCAAAAATGTGAGTTTCTTGTCTAAACAATCAGTTAAAGAAGATCAGAATACAGATGTTAAGATAATGTTATCAGAAGTCTTTCTCAGGTTCCTGATTTTGCTTTTTTTTTTTTTTTTTGCTTGGGGAAGACCTAAATCTAAGTCTTTCTACATAGGTTCTTGTTAGATTGACTCTATATTTTTCAAAAGGTCTATTTAGTATTATTATTTAAGACATCAAATATGTCAGTAGAAAAGGACAATGAGGCTGTTATTATGACTCAAATTCCTCCTACTAAAAATGTAACAAAGAAACTCTTAAAAATTCATATTCTAAACTGACTTCTTTTAATAACTGTGATTGAGGTATTACTGTTTTAAGTGAGTACAGTTAAAAAAAGTAAAATAAATTTGGTATTTGAGGATTGTCTTATTCTTTTTTAGTCTCTTGGACCAAGTTCCAGAAGGACCAGTGTTTATTGCTATGTGTTTTCTACTGAGAATAACTGATGCAATAAGTTTTGAGGCAGCAATAACTGCATCTTCTTCTATCCTTGCAAAGGCTTTTCCAAACAACGTGGCCACAGTATTGGTAAGTTTATACGCTTTTCCTGTTTTCCTTTTAGTATAGGCTAAAATATTTGCTTGACCTTTCAAGCCAAAGCTGGGGCCCATTCTTCTAGACCTGCTTTTTTTCTACTCTCTGTTTATTTGTTACCTTTCACCCCAGTTTCTACTTTCAGCAGCAGGCTGTCAATAAACGTACCCTTAGTCTTACTTAGGTGCTTTTCCTGGGCTCAGAAGTCCCTAAATGGGCAAAACCAAATACTCTTTTTTACCTCTTAAAAAAAAAAGCCTCGGTGGTAGTATCTGCTATCTCTCTGTAGCCTAGATTGTGGCTGGGCTGCCTGAAGCAGATTTATACTAGAGTCCTGCTTCCACTTTTCCCAGAGTCATGGAAAGGATCTTGGAGATTGTCTTGAAGTCCATATGTGCTTCTACGCAGTAGGTCTGAGGACGGACTTACTTTACCATAAAAATCCAGAGCCTGGTAGCACTGTATTGACGTACATTCTCATATATTGCCCAAATGCCTTGACACAGAGCATTAGTGACATAGCAGATTCTTGTCCCAGCTCTTGGCTGCCTGCCTCCCTGATCCCAACAAGACTTTCCCATATCTCTTTCCTCCAGACCCAGGCATTCCTGGTTTGTATGTGAGAATAGGCACCACCCTCAGAGACCTCAGGTCTAATCAGCTCAGTACCACATTTCCTCATTTACCCATATTAATACTACAGTTTGAAAGTTTTGACCATCAGGTAAACTACTTGCTATATAAATATAAATATTCACACTTTTATTAAGTATATACCCATATGTATTTACACACTTATTGTAAGTACACATATCTGTATATGTATTGTATATCTGGATAAATTCACTTTAGGTTCTACAGCAATTTTTCAGGCCATGGTGGCCACTGTAACAGATACACTATTTCCATTTCCAAAAAGTATGTTTTTCAGAACGGGTTCAGGAAGATGCTAGTTGGTTGACATGCTCTGTAAAACAAGGTTTTGTGGCTGAACATGATTGGAGTAGGGCTTTGCTGTCCTGAAAGTTAGAGGTGGTCAGTTCACATTAGCGTGAGTTGTTTTCATTTTATGTGTGAACAGACTATAACATTTGCCCGTTTTCCCACAGTACTGCTGATTTGTCTCATTCATTAATAGTTGCTGTCATGGTGCTTTTGGGAAATTAGTCTTTTGTCAGTACTTTTTCCCCATTCTTCGTTTCTCTCTTTTTTTTTTTTTTCTTTTTTGCTGTCCATAGTTTTTCATTTTTTGTGTGTAATCAGAGTTATCAGTCTTCTTTTGTGTCTTCTGAGTTTTTATGTCATAATTAGAAAATTTACTTCACAGTAAGGATTAGGAAAAAACTCTCATATTTTATTTTTCTAGTACTTTTATAATTTCAGGGTGCATGTTTAAATTTTTTGTCTATCTTGGATGTGTGTGGGTGGTGTGTGTATAAATTATAAAGTAGATAGAATTTTTCCTGAACTTTCCATTAAATCTTTGTTCATTTTTCAAATGAAACATATTAACTCAATCTTCTTTTGTTTTCCCATTCTTAGGGAAGTCTTGAGACTTTCTCTGGCCTGGGGCTTGTGCTGGGGCCTCCTCTGGGTGGCTTTTTGTATCAGTCCTTTGGATATGAGGTGCCTTTCATTTTTCTGGGATGCATAGTTCTGCTGATGGTTCCCCTCAACATGTGTATTTTACCCAATTATGGTAAGACCTCATTTATTGCTCATTTTAAGAATCTTAAATTTAAATATTTTTATGCCTTTGTAGGAGACCAATTTAACATATGCAAAGTTTCATTTTATATAATCACTAATAGATTTGTAGTGCATGCTGAAAGAATCAATTCTCTTTTCAGAAATGTTGCGGTAGGCAATTAGCTTACACAAATTGTCATAAATTCTTTCTGATCTATAGAACTAGCAAATATTAAATTCCTTATCATAAAACATATGCAGTGCCCACCAGATGTCTTCTTGGGCTCTAAATTAAAGATTCTTTACATCTTTTAATATAAAGAATCTTTCCATTACAATGCACTGTGACAGGAGGACAGTTAGACCTTCCTCCCCCAGGCTTCTTGTAGCTGTGCGCGCAGCACGACTCAAGTGTGAGACCCAGGGCCACATCAGGCAGTAATGGGAATCATCTTGGCTCTGAAGCTTCATGCCCCGTAGGAGTCAACCTATCCCGTAAGAACTCCATAGTCACAGCTGCCAGGGTCTCCACGAGGCACGTTCTGGGTGCAAGAGACCCCAGGCTCAGGGAGGCACGAAGCGTCGGGTATTGATGGCTTGTTTATAGTTCCTTCTGTGCAGATGAAATTCACCAGTCAGGGGTCGTTTTCATTATAAGCCAGATTGCCTAGTAATGGAGTTGGCATTTTACCACTATCAGATGACTACTGTGACAGAGCCGCCGAGTTATCTCGAGGGCAGGAGGAGAGCCTGTCGTTTTTCTATACACAGTGATAGTTGTTTCTGTAGTCAAGCATCCCGGACTGGCCTCCGATGGGGTTCACAGGTGAACACTTGGCTATTAACTAAGAAACTGACACCAGGTCAGCTTCTCTTGCAACAGGAGAAAGAGTTCTGTTTACTCTTTATCAATAACATCATATAGGGAAAAACGATGGCTTACTAGTTAATTGTGGGATGTGGTATTTAGAACTTCTGTGATTAGGTGCTGGACTGACCCCAGCATCAGTAATTCTTTGAGTCCTGGCATGCTCTCCTCATCTCTGCCCCTCACTCCTACAACATGGTATCTTTTGAAGCCCCTCTAATCACTGTCAGCCTAGTTATTTGGTACTTATTTCTCTTCGTTCCTGTTATTCCTCAATTAAAATTTTCCTACATCTTCAATTAACTTAGAGCTCCAGTTGTTGCTCAGTTGCTCAGTCGTATCAGACTCTTTGCAATCCCATGGACTGCAGCATGTCAGACTTGCCTGTCCTTCACTATCTCCTGGAGCTTGCTCAAACTCATGTCTATTGAGTCAGCAATGCCTTCCAATCATTTCATCCTCTGTCGTTCCCTTCTCCTCCTGCCTTCAATCTTTCCCAGCATAAGAGTCTTTTCTTTTTTTTTTATTTTTTTTTTAATTTTATTATTTTTTTTATCACAACCATAGTGTATCTTTTTTTTTTTTTTTTTTTTTTTACATGTATTCCCCATCCCGGTCCCCCCTCCCACCTCCCTCTCCACCCAATCCCTCTGGGTCTTCCCAGTGCACCAGGCCCGAGCACTTGTCTCGTGCTGTGGTACATATACACCATGGAATATTACTCAGCCATTAAAAAGAGTCTTTTCTAATGAGTCAGCTCTTTGAATCAGGTGGCCAAAGTATTGGAGCTTCAGCTTCAACAACAGTCCTTTGAATGATTATTCAGGATTGATTTCCTTTAAGATTGACTGGTTGGATCTCCTTGCAGTCCAGGGGACTCTCAAGAATCTTCTCCAACACCATAGCTCAAAAGCATCAATTTTTCATCGTTCAGGCTTCTTTATGGTCCAACTCTCACATCCATACATGACTACTGGAAAAACCACAGCTTTGACTAGGTGGACCTTTGTCAGTAAAAAAATAATGCCTCTGCTTTTTAATACGTTGTCTAGGTTGGTCATAGCTTTTCTTCCAAGGAGCAAGCATCTTTTAATTTCATGGCCACAGTCACCATCTGCAGTGATTTTGGAGCCCAAAAAAATAAAGTCTGTCACTATTTCCATTGTTTCTCCATCTATTTGCCATGAAGTGATGGGACCAAATGCCAAGATCTTCGTTTTTTGAATGTTGAATTTTAAGCCAGTTTTCTCAACTCTCTTCTTTCACTTTCATCAAGAGATTCTTTAGATCCTCTTCACTTTCTGCCATTAGGGTGGTGTCATCTGTGTATCTGAGGTTATTGATATTATCATGCAACCTTGATTCTAGCTTGTGCTTCCTCCAGCCCAGCATTTCCCATGATGTACTCTGTATATAAGTTAAATATACAGGGTGACAATATACAGCCTTGACGTTCTTCTTTCCCAATTTGGAACCAGTCAGTTTTTCTATGTCCTGGTCTAACTGTTGCTTCCTGACCTGCATACAGATTTCTCAGGAGGCAGGTAAGGCAGTCTGGTATTCCCACCTCTTGAAGAATTTTCCACAGTTTGTTGTCATCCACACAGTTAAAGGCTTTAGTGTAGTCAGTGAAGCAGAAGTAGATGTTTTTTCTGGAATTTTCTTGCTCTTTCTATGTTCCAACAGATGTTGACTATTTGATCTCTGGTTCCTCTGCCTATTCTAAGTCCAGCTTGAACATCTGGAATTTCTCGATTCACGTACTATCGAAGCCTGGCTTGGAGAATTTTGAGCAATACTTTGTTAGCGTGTGAGACGAGTACAATTGTGCAGTAGTTTGAACATTCTTTGGCATTGCCTTTGGGAGTGGAATGAAAACTGACCTTCCAGTCCTGTGGCCACTGCTGAGTTTTCCATATTTGCTGGCATATTGAGTGCAGCATTTTCACAGCATCATCTTTTAGGGTTTAAAATAGCTCAGCTGGAATTGCATCACCTCCACTATGCTTTGTTTTGCTTCCTAAGGCCCACTATGTTTTTATGAACAAAATGGTTTGGCAAACTTTCTGTTTATCTAAGTAAGGATTTTGTATTTAGATTGAATGGAAAAAACTGATATATATATTTTTAAATCTCACAATTTATAATGTTAAAGCTATAAATATAGATTTAGGTGTTCCGATTAAGGAGTGCCTTTGAAAATTATTGTTTTAGGAAAGCTTATAGGTAAAGCTGGAAAGTTAAATTTCCTTTTATTTGGATGATATTGGCAGAATTTTGTGTCTATAAGTTATACTCCACTAGTTTACTTCCTTTTAAACCCATGAACACTGTGGATTTGGATTACTAAGAGTCAATTTCAGTCCTTCACTGTCCCTCACTGTCCCTCATCCTTTATATTTGCTTGCCAAGTCTCCTCTTCTGTATTGTGCTAAAGAAAAATTTTTCCCCCCAGCCATGCTATTTGGCATGTGGGAGCTTAGTTCCCTGACCTGGGGACTAGGGATGAACCCATGCCCCCTGCAGTGGCAATGTGGAATCTTAACCATTGGACTGCCAGGGCAGTCCCTAAAGAAATATTTTTAAAACACAGGCATGTACATGACAGTCTTCTTTTTTTTAATTTATGTTTTTAATCGGAGGATAATTGGTTTAGAATGTCATGCTGATTTCTGCCGTACAAAAATGTGAATTAGTCATTAGTATACACATGTCTCCTCCCTCCTGAGTCTCCTACCTCCCACCACTCCCTCCTCCTACCCCTTTAGGGATGCCTGAGTGTGGTGCTCAGTCGCGTCTCACGCTTTGAGACCCTGTGGATAGTAGCCTGCCAGGCGCCCCTGTCCATGGGATACTCCAGGCAGGAATCCTGGAGTGGGCAGGAATACTGGCAGATCCTCCAGGGGATCTGCCCCACCCAGGGATCGAACCCACATCTCCTGCGTCTCCTGCATGCCAGTGGATTTTTTTTTTTTTTTTACCACTGAGCCACTGGGAAGCCTCCTGTAGGGATGACAATCCTCTTAATAAAAATGCCTGAATCCCTGAATTGTGAGCTTTACCTTGAAAGCCACTAGAAGCTGTTGTTAGAGGTTTCAGGCAAGTCATATGAGCTGGACTGTCTCCCACTTCCGCTCTACCTAACTTTGACTCGTCCTTCAAAACTTAATTGTATGACCTTCTCTGGAAAGTTTCCCTGAACCCTCTCAATCACTGATCTAAGTGCTGATCAATAGTGCCACAGTGCTCCGCGTTTTTCCTATCTCTTCACACCTGAGGGCCTTTCTGCTTCCCCACCGCTCAGAGCAGCTTCCTGTGGCAGGCATTGTCCACCATGGAGTCATGTCCTCCAAGAAGAATGTATCAGAATTGGAGGAAGCAGAGAGATTACTTAAGGAGTTTGGAAAAGCTCCCTGGGTGATTCTGCTATGTGTCTCTGGAAACAGGTATCATCCTAAGTTTTCATTACGTGGGCTTCTTGAACGAACAGCTTAGCTAAACTCATGATGTGTTATTTTCATGGACGTTCCTGTGTGTTCTTATGGTGATAATCCCCTTTCCCACTCTGCATTCAGAGAAAGGGACCATTTATTTTATAATAGTTTGTCTTATGCCATAGACCCATAATACCTCTATATACACAATAAATGTAATTGATTAAAGTTGATACTTTATCATTGTTATTTTAAACATCGTTAATATACGATCCAAAAATCCATAACTAGTGAAGTCTCCCTGCTGGCCTGCCTCACTGAGACACATGTAGTGAAATGGGCTGGGCTCACAATTGGTTCATCATTGACTGTTTGGCTAATAATTAAGAAACCAACAACACAGTTTAACTGTATCCCTCTTATCCTGACAAGTATAGCTGGACCACACTTAATGCTTCTTTTGTACCTTGCTTCCTACTGGATCATTATTCACTAAGAATTTATTACGTAATGAGTTCTGTTGGGTACTCTTGGAGAAATGAGGCTACGTCAGTGCTGATCTGGCCTTCAGGGCGTCCTGGCCTGGCTCCCTGCCGTCTCCTAGCTCGCCTCCTGTCTCTGTTTCCCAGGAGACCACAGAGGTAGCTCTTTGAACTGCAAATCTGATTCTCACTTCTTGTTTGAAACCTCTAGTGGTTTCCTGGGCTCCTTAGCCTACTTTAGAAAGTCCTGTATCATCTTCTCACTGCATCCTTCTGCAGGGTGACCTCTCCTCCCGACACTCCAGTCTCCACCCTCCTTGACTTCAGCTCTTCATTTCCCCAAACGGAATACTTTCCCCTCACCTTTGAGTCTCACAGTGAGCCATTCCTGGATAATATGCCTGAGTTCTTCCTTCCTCCATCTTTGCTTGCTCATCTCAAGCTCATCCTTTGGGCAGTAATTGGGACATTACTACTTTCATAAATTCTCTCCTAAACAGCTTTCGTTCCTTTTTTAGGCAACCGTCTCATATGCTCCAGTTGGTACCGTCCTGGCTCCATCCTGGCTCTCACCACACCTTTTTGTAACTTCTCCGTGAGGTCAGGATCTGCGTTTGTCTTCTTTGGCTTTGTGAGCCCAGGGATTTGGCATGGTATTGACTCAGCAGAGATTTTGTTGAGCACATTACTTGGAAGATAGGAAGGTCATCAAACAATAAACCATGTAAGATGAAACACAGTTTAGGTTGCTCCATTACATGGTAATGGAGGTAAAATTTGCAGAATGCTTAGGACCAGAACGAGGCTTTACAGAGTGGCTAGAGATAGAAAAATTAGCAGGAGAAAAAGAAGGGAGTTATTGGATATGATTGGAGGCTTGGGAACAACCAAACCTGGTACTTGGGACAGTGCAGAAGTTGTGTTGCTGTTGGGGAAATGGCAGTACCTGAGGTTGGTGCTTCCCTATAGCTCAAAGGACTTTTCCTGTAGCTCAAACGGTAAGGAATCTGCTTGCAGTGCAGAAGACCAGGATTCGATCCTCGGGTTGAGAAGATCCTCTGGAGAAGGGAATGGCAAGCCACTCCAGTATTCTTGCCTGGGGAACCCCATGGACACAGGAGCCTGGCGGGCCACAGTCTGTGGGGCTGCAAAGAGTCAGACACTACTGAGCGACTAACACGAGGTTGGGTCTCAGCTGACCTTGATGCCAAATCGAATGTACTCGTGATTCACTAGCATCCCTTTCAATCCAGTGTTTTTCCGTAAGCAGAAAAAAATTGTGTTGTGTTCTTTGATTGACTCAGATTCCTCCTCAGCACACACACATCATTGCCTGATAAAGCGTCTGGTTTTTCCTACCACCAAGTGCAACTTTATGTGTTCTCTATTCCATCTGGGGAAAGCCTTCTCGATGATGACCTATAACTAAGACCACTTCTTCCCCTCATACTCTGATTCCAGTTGAGTTTTTTTGAATCTGAGAAATTATTTTTTAAGTACCTGGAAATGGCCTCTAGGTTTGAATAACTTCTATGCAACTGTTGATAATGTGCAATTTTAGGCAAACTCAGAGGCGTGGTTTTTTTGATTACTGGATAAAGATGGTGTTACCGATTTTACTTTTGAAAATAGACTGAAAGATTAAGTTCAGCAATTTTAATTACTCTAACTTCTTTTTAAATTTTTACCCCAAAGAGTCTGATAAAGGGAAACACTCATTCTGGAAACTCATCGCTTTACCCAAGGTTGCCTTTTTATCCTTTGTCATCACCTCATTCAGCTCCTGTTTTGGCTTCCTTGATCCTACACTCTCCCTCTTTGTTTTGGAGAAGGTGAGTAGCCTGGTGATGAAAACTCCCCATTGTGGTAGGTGCACATAATTGTTTGTCCTCAGGTCCTGCTTGCTAGAAAGTCCTGGGTGTGGATGCAATCTATACATCAAGATAGCCTGTACCTTCCCTCTGTGATGTCCCTATAACTCGGGGTCTGCTTTGTGTAAAATGAAAGAAGACTTTCATCTGGTCTCTTTCTCCTAGGCCTCGCTTTAGTCATCATAGATCTGGCTTGGGCAGCATCCTGACTGCTTAACAAGGATACTTTCCTCTGTTTTAATTCCACTGAGGCATTTGAGGTTTTGAGTGGCTCATTTAATGTGAGGTATCCATCTTTTCTGGACTTCCCTGATCCCCTCTGGGTCCATTTACTTTCAGTCTATTCCGTATATTTGAAAGACTATGAACTCTATTGATCTGAAATGGGAGAAAGGAACCAGGAGTCTCTATCTTTTTAATGCTGAAAATGACTGAATTTTAAAGTTTGATGTCATAGCAATTTGTTCTTTGATATTTTTGAAAAAAGATTATTAAGAAATAATGCAATAGAGTATATTACTGAGTCTGATAGTTAATTATACTAGAGAGTTAATCTGAGTTTATAAAGACAGAAATCTACTAGCTGCAGCGCAAGTTCACCTTGAGGCCCTAGAATGAAGAAAGCACCATTATCAGAAACACAACCCCTTGAAGTCACTCGACAGTTTGGGGTATTCTACAGGTAAACTTGGGGACTGTAATTTTAGTGCCAGGCCCAAGTTTTGGAAAATAATATAATATCACAATTAAGCAGTGAGCATCTATGAGGTAAAGCATAAGAAAAATATCTTGTGTTTTTGATGACACATTCCATTCACATTATCAACAACGAGTCTGCTTAAAAGTCATTTTTATTCCTTTTAAGAACTCTGTCCAAACCTAGGAAAAAAGTGTAACAATCTTTCATAAACCCAGGTTGCTCATGTCTAACTTATAAAAATCTTTAGAAATGTACTTCTCTGTTTTTCTATCACATTTTTTTTTCCTGTTGCCCTTCTTCTGTCTTATCTGTTGTTTCAATTGGCTTTTTACTGTCCCATCATTGATTGACCAGTCTTTTAGGGAAGGAAGGGGTCCACCCTGTCTCCGCCTCACTGTAAAATCAGAAGAGGATATTTCTGACTTTTATATCTTGCTACTGTCTTTAAAGGGCTAATTTTTAGCTTGAATTATGTCATAAAAATTGTTAAAACATATACTGACCTAAGTAGATCCCATGTGCTTAATTAAAGAGTAGGTAAGGAAATTAAGGAAAATAAGAATGACTTAGATAACCAAGAAAGGCATTTATATCATGTTGGTAACAGTAACAGAGTTATGAGGTAGCTTATTATTATAAAAGCCTTATAAGAAGTGTCATACCATCTAATTCTTTAATTAGAGATTAATATCCCTTTGAGATGGATAGAATAGATATTATTGTCAGTGCTTTTTATAGAAATGCACTTTAGTCTGTGGACAGACAGCATACCTGGGATTTTTGTTTGACATGCAGATTCTCAGGCCTCCTCCCAGACTTACTGAATTAGAAATTCTTGGGCTGGGGTTCCTGAACCTCTTATAACAAGTTCTCCAGGTAATTTTTTTGTGTATACTAACGCTTGCAAAGCACAGGTTGGCATGTAAATATGCTATGGTTCATAGAAGGATAATTATACAATATTTACTATCAAATGCTAGCAAAGCAAAAGCATCCTGGATTTGTGACCTCTGGTTAGGTTTCTTCTCCCACAATGAAAAATAATCCATTTACAAGCATAAGACAAAAATCACAAAGGATGCTAAGTGTTAGTGGTAGCCTCATGGCAGGTGATAAGAGCTGAAGATATGGTAGAAGAAAAAGATAGATGTTTATTTTTAAAAAATGACTTAACCATGTCACTTTAACATGGGATTTCTTTTACAGTTTAATTTACCAGCTGGATATGTGGGATTGGTATTCCTGGGTTTGGCACTGTCCTATGCCATTTCTTCACCACTGGTGGGCCTGCTCAGTGATAAAATGCCAGTAAGTACACTTCATTGATATTTAAGAATGACTTTTGTATGTCTAGACTGGTGGTTGTCCAACTGTACTTCTGGAGTTCTGCAGGGCTACTGATTAGAATGAACATATTCAAATTTTTAAAAAAGTTATCTTTATTGAAGTATAGTTGACAAATATAACTTTAAGATATTTGAAGTATACAATATGGTGATTTGGTATATCTATACATTGTGAAAGGATTCACTCCATCTAGTTAATTAATATATCCATCACCACAGTTATCTCTGGGGGGAGAGGGAGCAGGGAGAACATTTAAATTCAAATATACTCATTTTTTTGAGCTGATGGAGAGATTTCAGGATCTTCCAACTTGTCATCACCCTGAGCAGATTCACTTTTTAATTCTTCAGCTGGGAAAAGGGGAAGCTTATGCCAAAACTGTTGAAAAACTCCTGGATTAGACTTTCTAAAGGAAAAGTTTCCCTTGATGCAAAAAAAATGGATTGACCTTAATAATGAGGACAGAGCTCAAAGGTACTTAGGACTTGACCAACTTGAAAGGATAAAATGTAGTTTTTCTACAAGAGTGAAAGGACTGGTCATGTCAATGTGCATCGTTATCCCAGAGCCATCCTGAAAGAAAATTTCTTCTGTTCTCCTTTAACTAGGTTTAAATGATCCAGTCTAGATGACTAGTATAGAGAGCTTAGTACTATTAACCAAGTCTCAAGCTTCTGTGATCCTAGTGCTTATTTTCATGTTTCCCCTCTTTGTTGCACGTGGGTATGTATTTATGAAGACTGGTTATGTGGCGATTACTTGGTAATCCAGGTGAGAAAAAGCAAGTGTCTTAAAGGGTTTGGAGCTTAGTTTTAAGATGTAGCCATATATATAACTGAATGGATATCATACCCTTGTAATGTTTAGCCTGCATTTCAGTAATTTATAAGAAAACATTTATTTGATACTTTTTAAAATGTGAATTTTTCTAGATAATGCATCTACTTGGTTGTTTCTTGTGGTGACTGCTTCTTTAAAATTGTTATATTTGAAACAGTTCATCATTTGCAAAATCTACAATATACTCCCTTTCCAAGGGATCTTGTCCTTTGCTCACACCCTGTCTTGGGGTATACTGATTGCACTTATTTTGTGTTTACCATCTACCCTGTTTTTCTTACATGTAAAGTTTTGTTTTCAATGTATTGATTTTTTTTTTTTAATATCATGACTTGTGTTCCTTGATGATTTCTTTATTTTCTTGGATTATGGTAGGTTTTATATCTAAGTCTCTTTGGACTTTCTTTCTCAGCACCTGAGGAAATGGCTTCTGGTTTTTGGAAACTTAACCTTAGCAGGTTGCTACATGCTCTTAGGACCTACCCCCTTCTTGCACATTAAGAGGTAATTTTTTTTTCTTCTTTCAAATTTTTGGCCAAGTATTATTAAGAATTATTTTTTAAAAATTTTGGTGTAACTCTGATATGCTTAGTATCTTTGAATCTTATTATTTAAATAATGATCAGATTTAGGACTATATTGAAATATTTGTTTTACTGACAGTATTACTGGATGCTAGCAATGGTCTAGCTTCTGTGTCATCCTTAGTATGTGATAGCTGCTTACTAAAGCTTGTTTATTATAATTTCTTTGCTAAAATAAAGTGAGCTACTTAGAGCTTTTTAGGTACCTCTGGGACAAAGCATGACATGGAAAAAAGCAAGGATTTCAGAGTCCTTCATGTTTGGGTTTGTATTTGGGCTTTATGCCTTCTTTGGTATGTGAACTTGGGTAACTCATTTAACTTCCAAGAGCCTAGGTTTTCTTATCCACACACACACACAAAACAGGTGATAATAGTACCATTGGAATAACTTTCTAGGCTCAGGATGGAGTGACTCCAGCCCAGGGTTCCATATCAGCAAACCGAAGCTTAGAAAACTTTAATGTCTCTGTAAATGCTCCTCCTGACCAGAAAGCAGTGTATCTAGTCAGCCCGTCACCCCCAGATCACCAACCCTGCTCTGGCCTTCTGACCCCAGACAAGATAGACGGTGTGGCCCTGGCCAATCAGCTATTTTCTGATTTTCTCTTCCTTGTTCTTTACTCTTTACCCTGTAAAAGCTTCCTGCCTTCCATCCCATTTTGCAGTCCTCTGAAAGGAGACCATCCGCCTCATGAAGTGTTAAGTAAAGTTTGCTTCTGTCACCTAGATTGTCTTCTTTAATTGTTTTCACAGACCCCCCATGGCAGGGTCACTGCAAGGATTCTAAAGAGCAGTGGATATGAAGTAACTGACATAGGCCTGGCATGAAATAGCAGGTTCCTGCCACCGGCTTTGCCATGCCCCTCTGTGCCCTTTTCCAGTCAATGGAATTTTAAAACTAAATGCTCGAAGGAGTGACATTAACATTGACATTTTAATCAACTTTGGAAGGATTTTATATGGTGATAAGGCAGGTTGACTCCAGGCATTTAACATGTGTGGCCAAAGACCTTGGGATAGCAGAATGAACTGATTTTTTTCCATCAAAATGTAAAGATCAGATGGGAATAAGAATCAGACTAGTCTTATAATCTGTGAAAGGAACTTCTCCCAAGTTCCTTGCCCTTTTTGGCATGAAGCTTTGTTGTCACTTTCAATGTTAATTTTTTTTTTTTCTCCAAAACTTTTTTGCAGTCAGCTCTGGTTGCTGGTGCTGATATTAGTCATAAATGGTATCTCTGCTGGAATGAGCTTAATTCCAATTTTCCCAGAGATTCTCTCTTGTGCACAGTAAGTTACTTCCGTTGCTTGAACTGTTGTTATAATTAACGGTAAACATCACAAGCTTTCTTGAATTTCTCAATTTTGTAGGATGTTGGATTTTTTTTTTTACATTACTCAGTCTTCATGGTTTCATGTCACACAATATTGTTATAAATATTATAAGCAACAATACAATAATATAAATGATGACATAGAGTAGTATTAATACAGTGATAGGTAAAATGGGTTGTGGGTAGAAGCTTGGCTCGGTTTACACCTTGGTACATATACTTTTAAAAAGTCAAAGCATATATATATGTGTATATGTATATGCATAACTGAAGCCCTTTGCTTACAATAGGAATTAATACAACATTGTAAATCAATTATCCTTCAATAAATTTTAAAATAAAGCCCAAGCACAGTGGAAAGCCCTCAGCATCATTTCCCTCTCACAGCGGAGGTCCATACAAGGGCACAGAGTGACCAGGTGAAATGATTTTAGCACCAATTCCAACGTGTGTGTTTTCCCCCCTCACACCACCAAGCACTTCTCTGAAACCAGGTGAGTGTCCTGCAATTTGTCCTGCAATTCAGTTAGTTCTGAAACCATTTAGCTGGAGATGGCAGCAGGTCCCACAGGTTAAGGGCTTAGCCCCACAAGACCGCTCTCTGCTGCAGAAGCCAATTTCAGGTGCAGGTTGTTACCTGTGCTTCTGACCCACTGGCTGTAAATCATCAGTTCCCATGACTTGGATTTGGTTAATTTACTAGAGTAGCTCATAGGTCTCAGGAAATCAGTTCACTCGTCAACAGTCAGATGACAAGATACCAAGGGCAGTGAGGTCCCAGCAACGGGGCCTCTCTCCGGGCCCAGCACTGGGGCACGAGGAAGCATTCTGGCTTCCCAAGCTGGGAGCGTTCTAAACTCAGTCCCTTTGGATGTTTATGAAAGCTTTATTACGTAGGCACGGCTGATTAAATCATTGGACAATTGGCAATTGATTTAATCTCTAGCCCCATTCCCATCCCTATGGGGAAGGGGTTTGCGGGGCTGAAATTTCCAACCCTCTAATCCACATTGATTCTCCATGCAACGTGGGTGCTGGCCCCCAAATCATCTCATCAATACAACAAAAGACACTTTTTTAAAAAAATGGCTTTCATCTTTTAAGAAATTCCACAAATTTTAGGAGCTCTGTGCCAGGAATGGGGAAGAAGACCAAATGTATCTTTTTATTGTGAAGTACTATACCACACCAGGCATTTGTCACTTGGCCATCAGTCTTCAGTAGATGTGATGATGAAGAACACAAAGTGAACTTGAGCAGGAAAATAACTGTTGGTTCTGACGTGCCAATTCAACAGTCCTCATAGGAGTTAGGAGCTGCTTCTGTACTTTCTGAAAGTTGCCCATTGTTCTCTTTACATGTCCGTTTCATTTTAAGATTTCTTAATTGTATACTTTAACATGTAATGCAAGTGGGTCAGGATTCTTAATATTATATCCTATATATATATATACAGTAGAAGCATTTCTAGAAAACCCTGGGGTAGTCATAACTAGGAGAATAGCTTCAAATTAGGTTAACTTTTTATTTTAGAAATGGAGTGTTCTTGCTGTTGGATTTGTCCAGGTAATCCCTGGTTTGGTTTAGTTTGTCTACCATACGCTGTTCCTTTGTTTCATGAAAGTCTCCCTTTTAATCATGAATATACTCTTGTTCCTTTTTGCAGCGAAAACGGATTTGAAGAAGGATTAAGTACCCTGGGGCTTGTGTCGGGTCTCTTTGGTGCAATGTGGTCAGTTGGGTGAGTAGCTTTGGAATTTAATTCACACTTGTAAGTTGGAGACTACTATTCCCATTTTACAGATGGAGAAATTCAGACACTGAGAGATCAGAGGAGCTGCCAGAAGGCACATAATTCTCTTAGGGCAATGCTGCAGTTTTGACCCATGCTATCTGACTTCAAGATCAGTGGTTAAAAAAAAAAAAAAGATCAGTGGTTATACCAACAGTTTTCATAAGATAACCACAATGGTCTCATATGCCTTGTCTTATTTAAGTGATATTTTAAAGTTCTTTTAACAGGAGCATGTCTCAGGTTTAAAGATGTATTCATTTATTCATTCATTTTTGCATTTATTTTTTACTCTGTACTAATGGCAACCCACTCCAGCATCCTTGCCTCGAAAATCCCACAGATGGAGGAGCCTAGTAGGCTACAGTCCATGGGGTCGCAAAGAGTCGGACATGACTGAGCAACTTCACTTCACATCATGTTGTTGCTCAGTTGCTCAGTCGGGTCTGACTCTTTGCGACCCCATGGACTGTAGCATGCCAGGCTCCTCTGTCCATGGGATTTCCCAGGCAAGAATACTGGAGTGGGTTGCTATGCCCTCCTCCAGGGGATCTTCCCAACCCAGGGATCAGACCCACATCTACTGCATCTTCTGCATGGGCAGGCGGATTCTTTTCCTTTGAGTCAGCAGGGAAGCCCACTCTGTACTATGCCAGAGAGAGAATTATATGCTAGCTGTGTAGCTAGCATCAATCAGTTTGTACTGAGTTATTTTAAACACAAATACCTGGAGAGACTATAATAACAACTCTTTTGAATGATGCCGTCTTTTAAAAATTCTCATATAAGGCACCAACTTTTCAGAAGCAGTCATAATCTTAGGATTGTTTAAACATTTTAAGCATCATCCTTTTCAGGTTGAATTATTTTCTTACTTCCCTTGTGGCTCAGCTGGTAAAGAATCCGCCTGCAATGCAGGAGACCTGGGTTCAATCCCTGGCTTGGGAAGATACCCTGGAGAAGAGAAAGGCTACCCACTCCGGTATTCTGGCCTAGAGAACTCCATGAACTGTACAGTCCATGGGGTCGAAAAGAGTCAGACACGTCTGAGCGACTTTCACTTTCTATGTTCTTACACCTAATGCCCTGTTCAGGGCTTCCCAGTTGGCGCTAGTGGTAACGGATCCGCCAACAAGCAGGAGACAAGATGAGGGTTTGGTACCTGGATTGGGAAGATCCCCTGGAGGAGGACACGGCAACCCACTCCAGTATTCTTGCCTGGAGAATCCCATGGACAGAGGAGCTTGACGGGCTACAGTCCATGGGGTCACAAAGAGTTGGACAGGACTGAAGTGACTTAGCATGCACGCACACGTAGTTTCAATATAATGAATTGAAGAGGTCATGTAGCCCATAAGTGGTAGCTTTTTTTTTTGGCTCTTTTTAATCTTCTTTCTTCTTTCCATTGTTAGTGCCTTTGTAGGACCAACGCTGGGGGGATTTCTCTATGAGAAAATCGGTTTTGAATGGGCAGCTGCTCTCCAGGGTCTCTGGGCTCTGACCAGCGTGAGTGATTAGTCTTTTACTTTCATTTTTCTTATGTTTATGGAGAAACATGACTTGGATAATTGACGCTAACCATATCTTTCATTATGTTAAAGGGACTAGTGATGGGCTTGTTTTATCTATTGGAGCACTTGAGGAGAAGGAGGAGGTATGGTCAACTCTGGAGCTTTTTCCCTCCCTTTAAAATTTGGCTTGTGGGAGTGGAAAACAAACACTGTTTTACACCCATTCTTCCAGTCTGAAGCTCTCTGGGCTCTCTGTGCCTCATCACTTGGTAGACACATATATGGAAATAGTTGGGTAGCGATGTAGGCACTGAGGTTTTTTTTAAGGTGAGAAATATTGAGGTTGGCCTCTTTTTTCCTTCAATATAGATCTGAACTTCAAAATATCCTTGGCACAGAGGAGGAACGGACTGCTCTCTTGTCTGATGAAAGGTAGCCTTAGGAATTTCAACCAATACAGGACTGGAAGATGGATGCTCCTGGCCTTGAACATCAGTGTTGGACTTTCTTAATTTTTACGCACAAAACTCCATGGACTCCACACCAGCATCCTGGAAATGTTAACATAGTTTTGGGTGATCCTGTGTTGGGCTATACATCCTGTTGTCCTGAAGAACTGGCCTTCTGAACCAGTCATATTTGAAATCTTAAATATGAGAGGAGTCATTGAAAATGAACAGAAGTTTGTGGTTTTGAGTGACTAGACTTGGCCTTGAAGATGCTGTTGACTCTGTTTCATCTGTTTACTTTTTATTGAGTGCACTGATTCTGTGAATGTACCTTTTTTATTAACAGGAAAAGAATTGATTTGACATGCCTATAAATAATGTAAAGATAACTCGAAATATACAGAATAATTACTGTGAAATCAGTTTTTAAAATAGTTGCTTTCTCTGTGCCCTGAGTTTTTGTTTGTTTGTTTTCATTCAAAAAGCAATTTCCAGCCTATGGTATAAAAACTCTATTGTATATCCTGGCCATCAGCTCTTCTAAAAATTTTGTTTGTGTGAAAGATACAAGAATAATAGTACTTAACACTTCCAATTTTGTAACATACTGTGAATTAGGATCTTGATTTATAAATAATGCTTGGTTTAATATTATTCATTTCTCTTAATGTCTCTGTTTTAGTTCTATCATTAAAAAAATTAAATATTTCCAATAGATGTAGCCCATTTCCAGAGCAAGTGAGTCCACAGGAATACTTGTTCTATGTTACGGAAGGGGTTCCTCTGACTTTGTGTAAAATCCATGTCATTGTTTTGAGTGAATCTCTGCTGTGCAACTCTCATACCTCCTGATCCATTTTCATAGTTTAGTAGCCACATTTACCACCACCCCCAATTTTTTAGTAGACTAAATGGTTTTTCATCTATTTAGTAATTCAAACATATTAAATGCCTTCTCTAAGCAGACATTGTGCTTGGTATTACAGAGTTAGCTGTGATCAAGATAAACAGTCTAGCCTTTATGGAACTAATATTTCAGTGGAAGGGATAAAGAATAAATAAATGCCAGAATCTCTAATTATCTATGATAGAAAAAACCTGGTGATATGAAAGAGTAATTGGCTGGAGTTGATTAGGTGAGAGGGTCCTCCTCTAGATAAGACCTGTCTGTGGAGGGGCTTTTGAACAGAGGTCTGAAGGATGACAATGAGGCAGCCGTTGAGAGGGGAGAGCATCCCCAGTTTGCGCAAAAAGGCTTGGCCTGGCCAGAGAGAAGGCGGCCGTGGTCCTCGAGGCTGGAGACCAGTAAGCAGAGGAATTTGGAGAGGTGGGGAGGGACTGGCTTTTGAATGGAGGATTCCAGAATTTGATGCATATTTCAGGAAGCTTGCAGTGTTTGCCTACTAGGGGTAAAGGGAGATCTTTGGAAGCCTTGAGACAGTCATTAATAGTTCCAAGCAAGAAGGTGATGAAGTAGAGAGAAAAGGATGTTTTGGAAGTGGAAGCAACAGGGCTTGTTGATATGGAGAGGCGAGAGGGAAATTCAGGACGACTCCTGGGATCTGGCTTGAGGGTATGGGTGGGCAGCGATGCCTCTTAGTAAAATGGGTAAGAATGGGAGCAAAGCAGGTCCTGAAGAAGCAAATTAAACCTTGCCCTTTCACACCACTAGAAGGGGGGAAAAAAAAAATCACAATACCCAGATTGGATACTACGGACAGAAACGACCTAAGGACCATTTCGGAAGGCTGCTTGGCATTAATTCCCCAAACTGAAGATTCACAAACCCCATGAACTCTTCATTCCCCCCCTCCCTCCAAGCCCCATAACCCTGAGACCTCCACAGGGTGGTCCAGGGCGTGCCAAGCCAAGCGCAAATGGCCTATCACTCCTCCCCCGCTTGCAGGAGCGGCACTAGGACGAGTGTGACCCCGGCCCGCTGCACTCGTGTGCATCCTGGCTCCATCCCCGTGCTTTTCTTCTCCGGGCGAAGGCTAGAGGAAAATAGCCCTCCTCCGCGCAGGGGTCAAGGATGCCGCCGAGGGCCTGCAGTTCCCAATTCTGCCACGTGGGGCCGCTATTAAAGCACCGCCGGGATCCTTCGGCGGCTCAGAGCAGGCACTCGCGCCGCCCGGACTTGGCGTCCAGACGTCACTCGGGACTGTCGGCCTGTTACCCTCAGCGCGCTGCTGACTTGGAGAGAAGTTCAAAGTCAGCGCAAAGATGCCACACTGTCTGGCTAGAGAAGTTTTTGTTCCCATTCCCCAAACACCGCTGTCCATACGTGCGGTATTTAAAGCCACTTTGTACCAAACCAACTTTGCACTTTCTTCATGTGATGATTTTGAAATATTCAATGAAAGAAAGGTTAAAAGTAGGAGAAATGATAGCAGAACTTTGAACAATGAAACCAAGAAGTAGGTCAAAACTATCAAGGGAAATCTTTGTTTGTGTTTATGGTTGGTTGGTTTAGTGGCTGAATCGTGTCCAACTCTTGCGACCCCACAGACTGTAGCCTGCGCGACTCCTCTGTCCCTGGGATTCTCCAGGCAAGAATATTGGAGTGAGTTGCCATTTCCTTCTCCAGGGGATCTTCCCGACCCAGGAATCGAACCCAGGTCTCCTTCATTGAGGCAGATGATTCACCGACTGAGTTGTGGTCTTCTAAATGTAACAAAATGTAGGTAAGTGCCCAGTTTTAAAAAACTCCTTTTTTTTTTTTTAAATGAGGCTGAATGTAGAATAACTAAAAACTATCTTTTATGTTAAGATCACATTGCATCCTATGCATATATGACATACAAACTAAGCCAAAGAAAAATAAACAGGACAAATAAAATCACAGATTTAAAAAAATTAAACTTAAAAAAATTTGTGATAATTGTTGATTCATATGTAGTTATAAGAAATAATACCAGAGATCATCTTAATCTTTACCCAGATACCCCAATGGTAACAGCTTATAACACCTGTAGAACAATATTATAACCAGGTTATATTGGTAGGAGAGAAGGCAATGGCAACCCACTCCACTACTCTCGCCTGGAAAATCCCATGGGTGAGGAAGCTGGTGGACTGCAGTCCATGGGGTCCCTAAGAGTTGGACACGACGGACCGACTTCACTTTCACTTTCTACTTTCATGCATTGGAGAAGGAAATGGCAACCCACTCCAGTGTTCTTGCCTGGAGAATCCCAGGGACGGGGGAGCCTGGTGGGCTGCTGTCTATGGGGTCGCACAGAGTCAGACACAACTGAAGCGACTTAGCAGCAGCAGCAGCATCATATTGGTAGAGTCAAGATAAAGAAAGATTCCTAATCTTCACGTTGCCCCAAGCTGCCACTTTTCTTTCACACTTCAGTTCACTCGCTCAGCCGTGTCCGACTCTTTGCGACCCCATGAATCGCAGCACGCCAGGCCTCCCTTTCCGTCACCAACTCCCGGAGTCTACCCAAACCCATGTCCATCAAGTCGGTGATGCCATCCAACCATCTCATCCTCTGTCGTCCCCTTCTCCTCCTGCCCCCAATCCCTCCCAGCATCAGGGCTTTTCCAATGAGTCAACTCTTCGCATCAGGTGGCCAAAGTATTGGAGTTTCAGCTTCAATATCAGTCCTTCCAATGAACACCCAGGACTGATCTCCTTTAGAATGGAATGGTTGGATCTCCTTGCGGTCCAAGGGACTCTCAAGAGTCTTCTCCAACACCATAGTTCAAAAACATCAATTTTTCAGCGCTCAGCTTTCTTCACCATCCAACTCTCACATCCATACGTGACTCCTGAAAAAATCATAGCCTTGACTAGATGGACCTTTGTTGGCAAAGTAATGTCTCTGCTTTTAAATATGCTGTCTAGGTTGGTCATAACTTTCCTTCCAAGGAGTAAGCGTCTTTTCATTTCATGGCTGCAATCACCATCTGCAGTGATTTTGGAGCCCCCAAAAAATAAAGTCTGACACTGTTTCCACTGTTTCCCCATCTATTTGCCATGAAGTGATGGGACCAGATGCCATGATCTTAGTTTTCTGAATGTTGAGCTTTAAGCCAACTTTTTCACTCTCCTCTTTCACTTTCATCAAGAGGCTTTTTAGTTCTTCTTCACTTTCTGCCATAAGGGTGGTGTCATCTGCATATCTGAGGTTATTGAATATTTCTCCCGGCAAACTTGATTCCAGCTTGTGCTTCTTCCAGCCCAGCATTTCTCATGATGTACTCTGCATATAAGTTAAATAAGCAGGGTGACAATATACAGCCTTGACGTACTCCTTTTCCTATTTGAAAGCAGTCTGTCGTTCCATGTCCAGTTCTAACTGTTGCTTCCTGACCTGCATACAGGTTTCTCAAGAGACAGGTCAGATGGTCTGGTATTCCCATCTCTTTAAGAATTTTCCACAGTTTATTGTGATCCACACAGAAGGCTTTGGTGTATTCAATAAAGCAGAAATAGATGTTTTTCTGGAACTCTCTTGCTTTTTCTGTGATCCAGCAGATGTTGGCAATTTGATCTCTGATTCCTCTGCCTTTTCTAAAACCAGCTTGAATATTTGGAAGTTCACGGTTCACGTATTGCTGAAGACTGGCTTGGAGAATTTTGAGCATTACTTTACTAGTGTGTGAGATGAGTACAACTGTTCAGTAGTTTGAACATTCTTTGGCATTGCCTTTCATTGGGATTTGAATGAAAACTGACCTTTTCCAGTCCTGTGGCCACTGCTGAGTTTTCCAAATTTGCTGACGTATTGAGTGTAGCACTTTCACAGGATTCAAATTCTGTGGATTTGAAATAGTTCAACTGGAATTCCATCACCTCCACTAGCTTTATTCATAGTGATGCTTTCTAAGGCCCACTTGACTTCACATTCCAGGATGTCTGGCTCTAGGTGAGTGATCACACACACCATCGTGTTTATCTGGGTCATGAAAGATCTTTTTTGTACAGTTCTCCTGTGTATTCTTGCCACCTCTTCTTAATATCTTCTGCTTCTGT